AGTCATATCCTCCAGAAGGTGGTCTAGGTGCAATGGACGAAAGTCAAAAGTCTGTAGTGTCCCCAAAATTGAAACAGGAGATATGCATAGGCCTTTCTTCCTCAATATCCTTCAGACCCTGTTTTGAATGACTCTGTTAGCAATTATTACTTCACTTTAGAATGTTCTTTCATAGTGTTTATGTGTGTGTATGTAGATGTATGTATCTGTGTCTGTGTTGGGGGGAGGGGTGGGTACGTGGTGTTTTTTCTTTTCTTTTTTCTTTTTTTTAATTTAAATACAAGTTAGTTAACATATAGTATAATAATGATTTCAGGAATAGAATTTAGTGATTCATCACTTAAATATAACACACAGTGCTCATTCCAAAAATTGTCCTCCTTGATGCCCCTTGCCCATTTAACCCATCCCCCCTCCCAGCTCCCCACCAGCAACCCTCAGTTTGTTCTCTGTATTTGAGAGTCTCTTATGGTTTGTCTCCCTCTCTGTTTTTATATTATTTTTGCTTTCCTTCCCTTATGTTCATCTGTTTTGTATCTTAAATTCCACATATGAGTGAAATCACAAGATATTTAATGTCTTTCTCTGACTTATTTCACTTAGCGTGATATACTACAGTTCCATCCACATTGTTGCAAGTGGCAATATTTCATTCTTTTTGATTGCTGAGTAATATTCCAGTGTGTGTGTGTGTGTGTGTGTGTGTGTGTGTGTGTGTGTGTGTATAACATCTTCTTTATCCATTCATTAGTCGATGGACATTTGGGCTCTTTCCATACTTTGGCTGTTGTTGATAGCACTGCTATAAACATTGGGGTGCATGTGCCCCTTCGAAACAGCACTACTCTATCCTTTGGATAAACACCTACTAGTGCAATTGCTGGGTTGTAGGGTAGTTCTATTTTTAATATTTTGAGGAACCTCCACTCTTTTCCAGATTGGCTGCACCAGTTTGCATTTCCACCAGCAGTGCAAAAGGGTTCCTCTTTCTCCGCATCCTCACCAAAATCTGTTGTTGCCTGAATTGTTCATGTTAGCCATTGTGACAGGTGTGAGGTGGTATCTCATTGTGGTTTTGATTTGTATTTCCCTGATAATGAGTGATGTTGAGCAGTTTTTCATGTGTCTTGTTAGCCATATGGATGTATTTTTTGGAAAGTGTCTATTCATGTCTTTTGCCCGTGGATTATTTGTTTGTTGGGTGTTGAGTTTGATAATTTCTTTATAGATTTTGGATACTAACCCTTTATCTGATAGGTTATTTGCAAATATCTTCTCCCATTCCATTGGTTGCCTTTTAGTTTTGTTGATTGTTTCCTTCACTGTGCAGAAGCTTTTTCTCTTGATGAGGTCCCAATAGTTCATTTTTGCTTTTGTTTCTCTTGCCTCCACAGACACATAAGAAGTTGCTGTGGCCGAGGTCAAAGAGGTTATTGCCTGTTTTCTCCTTCAGGATTTAAAATTTTTTTTTTCAACATTTATTTATTTTTGGGACAGAGAGAGACAGAGCATGAACGGGGGAGGGGCAGAGAGAGAGGGAGACACAGAATCGGAAACAGGCTCCAGGCTCTGAGCCATCAGCCAGAGCCTGACGCGGGGGCTTGAACTCGAACTCACGGACCTCGAGATTGTGACCTGGCTGAAGTCGGACGCTCAACCGACTGCGCCACCCAGGCGCCCCTCTCCTTCAGGATTTTGATGGCTTCCTGTCTTACATTTAGGTCTTTCATCCTAAATGTAAGTTTATTTTTGTGTATGGTGTAAGAAAGTGGTCCAGGTTCATTCTTCTGCATGTCGCTGTACAGTTTTCCCAACACCATTTGCTGAAGAGACTTTTTTCCATTGGATATTCTTTCATGCGTTGTCAAAGATTAGTTGGCTATACATTTGTGGGTCCATTTCTGGGTTTTCTATTCTGTTGCATTGACCTGTGTGTCTTTTTGTGCCAGTACCATACTGTCTTGGTGATTACAGCTTTGTAATATAGCTTGAAGTCTGGGATTGTGATGCCTCCTGCTTTGGTTTTCTTTTTCAGGATTGCTTTGGCTATTTGGGGTCTTTTCTGGTTCCATTCAAATTTTAGGATTGTTTGATCTACCTCTGTGAAGAATGCTGGTGTTGTTTTGATAGGGATTGCTATGTTTTTTTTTCCTTTAAAAGCAACACTGATGGTACTATTGTTAAATTCCCAAGGCTTTGCCATCCGTAATTATAATTGTTAAGTATTGTTACACTAGAAGTCAAATAAATGAATGGACTACGAGATACATATTGAATACAAATAAGGATCTTAAATATCAATTCCCCACATCTATTGCTGTTTAGAAAGTGAAATGTATAAAATGCACTGAGATGCCTCCAGGAATATGGGTTATGACACTCTGGGCTGTTTTCTCCAGTGTTCACTCATGCACCTGCTTTTAAAAACAGGTATTTGTTTTTCTGTTTTGAAAGAGTAAACACCTTATAAGCTGAAAGTCATCAAAATTCTGCCTTTCCCTATTCATCATACATTACATTTGCCAAGCACAGATTAAGGCAGATTATTAACCTACTCAATTACAAGAGAACTCCTATGGAAGTGTCTATTACAACCACATTAATATCTCATTAGTTCATCATGTTAATGTTATTACAGTGGTTACCAAAGGGATTGGTACTGAATGGTACCTAATTTTGAAGAGTTGTTGCCCCAAGCATCATTTAAGAGGGAGGCTCAAGAGTAGAGGTGGAAATCTGCTTCCTGTCTTCTTCCCTAAAAGAAGAAAAGAAAAGAAAAAAGAACAAATGAATAATCCTGGCAAAACATGCTGCAGAGGCTGAATGAGACTCAAGATATAAATCTATTTTGACAGGTGTAGTCATTATTCTTATCATCTAGGATAGCATTATTCTTTTGTTTTAATGGCAGAGATAGCAGGAAGACAAAATTTGCCTTCATGTGAATGCACCAAAATGTAACAATTAGCTAGCAAAATTAAATTATTACTAATGATGATAATAGCATGTCTGTATCTTTACAATGAACGTGTAGCTCTACTTATTTACATCTTCCCCCAGAGGAGTTCAAGTAGATTTACAGAAGTTAAACCACTCCCACTTCTCCATTCATTTGCATACATAAAAAGAAATAAAGCATAAAAGCTGATTGTGTCATTTTATAAGGAAAATTATGTTTCTGCAGTTTCATGCCTTTGATTTAGTTGGTCCTTCTCCACATTTGGAAGGTTTGTGCAGCCATAAGGTCAGTGGCACCAAGGCTGGAGTCTAGACTATGACCTGGGGTGAGTATTAATTGCTGTATGCCCAGGGTCTTTGGCCCTGGTGGGAGCAGATGACAGTGGGGGGTGTCCTAGTCAGCAAATCAGTGCTGGCCTTTAACATAGATGTAAAGAAGTCTGCTGCTGATGCTGTCTTATTTGCTATACTTTCCCCACCTGTGTTTCTACTGTTTGCTTAGACCCCAGAGCTCTCATAGTCTTTTCAATGAAATTTTGGGGTGGTTTGTCACAGTAGTTAACCTTTTGCTTTGCTTCTATTTTCTTAGTAAAAAAAAAAAAGCAAATTATTGGGAGGTTTGCAGAATCAGGAGAAATTATGAGATAGACCTCAAGAAGAGGAGGAGAGTGAATTGTGTCAGAAAATGTTGAATAAGGCTTATCTGATAGTGTTAGGTTCCACTTCAGATTTGCACACACAGTGAATGGTGAGCCATTAGTGTTGCCTCCTGCCACGTTCCACTGCTTGGATGCAGGAACCAGGTCAGACTGGGATGTTTCTGAGTGTGTAAGACAGAAGGAGAGAGATAAAAGAACATAACAGACACATGGAAGGGAAACATTATGATATTGGATTGCGGAATCCAGGGTGAGGAGGCAAATAAGAGTATGTAGTAGACAGTGAAATGTAGGAGCACTCAGTGGGAGGTCCCAATATGGTTAAAGAATTACAGGATCAGGATTGTTGGAGGGATGGGCAAGCACACTAGGAAATGGTGATCTGAATAAAATTCTTGAAATTGAGATTTTGGAGACAGGACGGTTGGTAACAACAAGGTCTAGGACATTAGTATGGGAGGCAGTGAAAGGTAGATTACTGCAACAAGAGCAAGTTAATGTGGTAATCTAATCTGATAACACATGTTTCCTTGTCACTGGAGAGTTTTAAAGATTTGGGAAAACAGTTGTTTGAAAATAGAGATAAGGAGCAAGGGGGGGAACCTGGCCTATCTTTTAAGCCTTGTTAAATATTGGGTATGAGAACAAAAATAGCCACTGTTTCAGAGAGCTGCTCTTTTTTTTTTTTAAGTTTATTTTTATTTACTTTGGGAGAGACAGAGAGCAGGCAGGAGAGGGACAGAGAACGAGGAGGCAGAATCCCAAGCAGGCTCAGCAACATCAATGCAGAGCCCAGTGTGGGCCTTGAACTCAGTGAGATCATGACCTGAGCCAAAATCAAGAGTCAGATGCTTAACAGAATGAGCCACCCAGGCGCCCTGAAAGGGCTGCTGTTTAAGTGGTGTGTGAAGGCTCCAGCTGCAGCAAGAAGGTGAAGACAACTTCCAGAGAGGAGGTTACCAGCATAGGAGACTTTGGGTTCCAGAGGGCATAGTGCAAAGTATTAAGGAGTCATGGAGGGGTGGGAGGTTGAGTCAGAATAGAGGAGGTATAGGCACACATGGGGATTGAGTCTGAGTGGTAAGAGATGAATCTGAAGAGTAGAGAGAGTGAGAAAAAATATTGTAGGCCCCTATTTTGGAGTTTGTAGCCATAGCATAATCTAGCATAAATCAATCAGTGCAGTCCTTTACAGAAAGGGACATATTCTTCTGTTTCCCTTTTTCCCTTTCTCCTTTGTGCTGCTTGGAATATGGATAAAAAGGTTGATGCTCTTAATTAGTTTGGACTGTGAGGTACCTGCTAAAGTTTGCTGAGCTGTAAAAGAAAAGAAACCCAAGTCCTTGGTGACTATGAAGGACTATGAAGTGGCCACACCTACCATTTTTTTTTTTTTTTTTTTGGTTGGAGAGAACATGGTTTAATTAAAGGCAAAGCTGATTTCAGCAGCTGCAGGTCTTGCACAGACAGACCAAAACAAAAAACAAAAAAACAAAACAAAAAAACAAAAACAGAAGAGAAGGTTTACTACACAAAACCAGTTTCTGATGAAGATTCTCCTCTCCCTCCTCATTACTCCACGTTGAGGATGATTAGGCGAGAAACCCCGCCCCAAGAATCAGAAAACATTCCAAACACCAAATTCTCATGCAGAAACGGGGCTGCAGATGGGACCCGGGCAGGACTGGGAGTGAGAGAGTGAACCTGGCTAGCTCGTCTGGGGTGTGAGACTCAGGGACAGCTGGAACACTGGAATGTTACAGCTGCCTGAATGCAGAGCTCAAACACACAGAGTGGGTCAAGGTAGTGGGCAAGGAGGGACTGGGAGAGAGGTGGACCCAGGGAAGGAGCTGGGGAGAAGCACAAAAGGTTTCATATTGCCATTGGGTGGGGGCTTCACCCTTTCAGACCCTTTCTCTGGATTTCTTTTTTGAGACAAATACGCTTCTATCAAATGTAACACAGGAGAGAAAATGATGACAATCCTTCCTTAATTAAAATTGTGGTCAAAGGGGAAGAAAAAGCTAAAATGGGCAACAAGATTGTAAAGAGAGCTAAGCACCCCCTTGCTATAAACGCATGTTTTTCTTCAAATTCTATTTCAAGAAGTTTAAGAAAAACTGGTAAATGAGACTGTTGAGTAATCCTGGCAACCATGAGGTATGCTGGAAGATCAGATATGGGAGAATGCCATTTTGCCATTCCACTTTTCAAAAAGAGGAAGAGAGATTCTGCAAACTATTGAATTATGAGCTTTATTTTATTTCCTGGAGTTCCAAGAAGAGGAAGTGTTTGGGTCATCATTACAGTAACCTCATTTCCTTCTTTGACAGATATATTGGACTATGGTGCCAGGGGAAATGTGGCAGAGTGTACTTTTGAACTAAAGCAAGGCATTTGAAGGGGGCTTTCAGAATGTCTTCATAGATCAATTAGAGGAATATTGGTTGCGTAGAAGATTGAAAGAGTGTATGAAGGGTAGTTCCTATGGGACAACCTGTGGTTTGTTTCTATTTTTTGCTCCCTGCCTTGGTGCCAGCTTCATCATAAAGGTTGGCTCCCCCTTGTGGTTAAAATGTGGCTTCTTTAATACTTGCCAGGAGCAGGCAGAGGGTTGCTTCAGAATCATTCCTCTGAGGAGTCAGGAAGCTTCTTTCCTGGATTGTGACAACAAACCTTTTCCCATGTTGTATTGATTCCAGTTGGATGAGGAGTCCATCCCTGAACCAATTACTCTGCCCAGGGAAAAGGATACTCTGCCTGGCTTAGGGCTGGCTGACTGGCTAGGGGTGGAGTTGGCTTCCGCCAAACACATTGGCTTCAAAGGTGTGATTATGTACCAATCTCTATCTCTGTCTCTGTCTCTGTCTCTGTCTCTGTCTCTATCTAGAGAGAGCTGAGTAGTCCACAAAATTGAGGCAATGGATTATTTTGTGGGAAAACACAACATTCACTATTCTGGAAAGATTTTGAGAGTAAGATTTTTGAATTCTATAAAGTAAACATTAAAAATTTGATGAGACAGGCATTCTGATAGATCAGGATTACCTTAGCCTCATAATACACTCCAGTTAATCAAATGAGTGAGCCCAAGGAGCAGAATTGTTTATCATTATCCATCTCATGGCAGAGACATGTTAGCCAAACACTATGATATTTGGTTTAATTAAGGTTAATACTTTTATCTTATTATAATTGACCAATATGTTTATGTTCTTTATAATATTAGAAGAGGATTATATTCCCTGTATGGATAAGAATGACAGCCATTCTTTTTTTATTTTATTTATTTATTTATTTATTTTTTTAAATTAAAAAAAAAAATTTTTTTTTCAACGTTTATTTATTTGGGACAGAGAGAGACAGAGCATGAACGGGGGAGGGCAGAGAGAGAGGGAGACACAGAATCGGAAACAGGCTCCAGGCTCTGAGCCATCAGCCCAGAGCCTGACGCGGGGCTCGAACTCACGGACCGCGAGATCGTGACCTGGCTGAGGTCGGACGCTTAACCGACTGCACCACCCAGGCGCCCCAGCCATTCTTTTTTTAAATTGCAGGATGGCATGGATCTAAAATTTGCAACAAATTGCTCAGGTGTAAATTAAAAAAACAAGTGACTGTATTTTCTTGCTGTTTAAAATAGTGGTTTTTTAAAAAAATTATTTTTAGAGAGAAGAGAGAGAGAGAGAGCATGAGCAGGGGAGGGGCAGAGAGGGAGGGAGAGAGAGGATACCAAGCAGGCTCTGTGCCACCAGCACAAAGCCCGATGCTGGACTCGAACCCATGAACCATGAGATCATGACCTGAGCCGAAATCAAGAGTTGGACACTTGACTGAGCCACCCAGCCACCCCCATAAAGACATATTTTATTAAAAATGCTTAGAATTGTTCAGTACGTTCTGCTATTTTTAACCAGTTTCTTTGTTACATGAGGCAAAATATACTAATGGTCACTGGTAAAAAGTCCATCTTGAAACTAGCTTATTCCTTATGCTTTATGTTTAACTGAGAAATCAGTGTATGCAATGTATTGAATTGAAAAAGAGACCACAGAATTTAGGTAGATATTGTGTGAAATAACAGATCTGTAGTTTAGGGATGTTGAGAGAAGTGCCTTTTGTAGATAAATCATCCTTTACGGTATGTTCTGCAAGATATAAACCTAAGGTCTTCAAAAAAAAATAATTTTGTAAGATGAGATCCTTGTTACTCAAACTGTGTTCTATGGACCAACAAGATCATTATCATGGGGAGTTTGTTAGACCTACACAATCTTACCTCCATCCTAGACCTGCTGAATCTGAATGTGCCTTTTAACAAGATCCCCAGGGGATTCATGTGTTCATTAAAGTTTAATCATGGATTACTGAATCTCAGGGAGGTTTCCATAGTCCACACAATATTGGGGGGCAGGGGCTTATCAGCCAAAGAATTTCTGTTTCTTGCAGGTTCTCTCATAGAACCTCTTCAGATGTATCACAGAATTTTCATTTACAGTGATGACTACATATAATGTTTCCTACTAAAATCTATATTACTTTATTGTTATTTTAAATGAGCTATCTCTAGAAGAAAGGCTTTGAGTCTGGATCTGCCACCTCCCAACCATCTGACCTTAAGCAAATTACTTCAGTAGTCAAAGCCTAGTTTTCTCGTCTCTAGGAACTGTAGATTCTAGAATAAATCTTTAGAATATCATCTCTAGATGATAGTGATCTTACATGGTTGTGAGGATGAATTGGGGTAACATGGGTAAAACGTTGTAGCCCTGGGCCTGGTACATATAAGGAACACAGTGAATATTAGTTCCCTTCATCCTTGCTGGAACATGCAGGGTATTGAAACTTTAGAGTTATCTACTGTAAATGATGTAAAGACTACTGAAAGTCTTCCTTTATGGGAGCAAAACTGTAATGTGGTTCCTCTAAAACATTAGATTTTAAACAGCTCTACTTGCCGAGTAAGTGATTTGCAAAATGATATTTAAATAATTGAATAGAATTGAATTGTTTAGTGTGGTCCATCTGGATGCCAAATTGCATTCGCCAAAATGATAATTTGGATTTTAACATAATTGATACTTTACTCTTCTTCCTGAGTCTGATTTATCCACAAGCTTTGCTGTTTCTCTGCTACTTAGCTTTTACTCATTGACTGCTGCTGGGTTCTGCTAAAAAGTCTTCACCTTGCTAAGTTTCCTGGACTTCCCTGCAAACCTTGTTTAATGAGGAGTCAGAGTGGTCTGTTCCCTGGTGTGGCTGGATGCGTTCTGATGAGTTGTTAAGTGATTGGCTGAGAAGCTGCTCCTGAAAGATAGCCTGGGCTGAGATCTGTAAACTCCTTGGACTATCAGTAGTTCTTTACAGTTAAAATCTTACTCTGTTGTGAACTCTCTGACCACATCATCCCAGGATAAGTGAATTGTGAAATGATAGCTAGACTGCATGGCAGTAGTCAAGGCACAGAGGGACCTAAGAGCAATGCACAGGCAAATCCATGTGACAGATGATGTGGCGGCCACTAATGGACCCTCTCTTCATATGGTTTACAGGTCTGCACAATCCCTTCCTACCCCAGAGAACTTCATGATGTAGGTTCTCAGTATGTTATTTTATTAATTTTTTTGATTAAAAAAGTAAAGTATAAAAGAGAACATAACAAATACCCATTATTCCTATCACCCAGAATTAACTGTTAATATCCTATGTAATCATCATTTCCAGCTCATTTCGTTTCCCAACACCACCAAAGGCAACCACCATCCGTAGTTTAATATGTGTCATTATATCTCTCTCCATATCTGTAAACAATATGGAATATTATTTTGTGAGTGCTTTCTGAAATGTACATAAATGGTATCAAATTATATTCTGAGCATTTCTCCTCTCCCTTCAGCATTATGCTTTTGAGATCCAGCCATGCTAATAGGCCCAGTTCATTCCTGTTTCATTTAACAGTAGTAGAGTTTTCAGTCTTAGAAATAGACTACACTTTACTCATCTCTTTTAAGGATTTGCAGGTTGTGACTAATATCTAGCAGCCATCAGTAGACCTGTGAATGTACTGGCATTTCTGTTCCTACCCTAATGGTTTGCTTGCTTAACTAATGGCTGCTGTCTTCATTAGAGATTAGCACATTAATTGAAACAGTACTTATCCCTCTTGGTAAAGTGATGAATTATATTTTTTATTCTTTTATCCTCAATGCTGAAAGGCAATGTGTGTACCCTTTGGGGAGCTCAGAAACCCTCTGTAAAGGACAGCACATTAAACAGCCCATTTGGTAACAACAGGAGAGTCCACTTATGTGTCCTTTTCTATTTTGTTGGCTCTTGTTAGACACAGACCAGTGAATAGATCATGTCCATGTTTAGGCAGGTCCAAGCTTACTCCAGCCTACACAGCTTGTCTCTCTCTTTGGTGACTAAAGAAGGAGGTTTCTGTGTTTTCTGCCTGTCAAAAAATTTTTTGTTTACCCTTATTAGCAAAGTCAACAGAGTAATGACACTAGGTCTTTGAGGTCATCTTCATGCCATACTGAATGGAGCAGTTATTTTTAGTGGAAACATCATCCTCTATATAAACAGTTATTTCCTAGTTGCCTTGAGTCTCTTTATAGTCTGACACCCTTTATTAAGAATGTATTCCAAAGTGTCAAATAAAAATGTAGCTATGTAAAGTTTTCCACTGCAGTTAATGACCCTATATGTTGGATTAGGTTCTAACATCAGGGAGAAGGAGCCCGTAAGCAGGGATGGGAGTGTGTGTGTGTGTGTGTGTGTGTGTGTGTGTGTGTGTGTGTGCACGTGTGCCCTCTCTGATCCATTCAGATCAGGTTTTCCTCTCCATTGCTCTAGTGTAATCCTTCTGGTTAAGTCACTTGTCAACTGTGTATTTCCAGTGATGAAGTTTTTGGGGTGATAGTGGGGTTTGTGGGGTCCAGAGCTGATCGCCAAGAAAGAATTCTTGAAGACATCTTTGGTGTAACAAGGTGGTTTTATTGAAGCATGCGGACAGGACCCCTGGGCAGGAAGAGCTGCCATGGGACCATGAGGAGAGACTGGTTATATACTATGGAACTGGGGAGAGGTGAAGTCCAGGGGAAGATTCCAGTGAGATTTTCATGTGCTAAAGAAGACTCACAGGACACTGGAGGCCTAGCTAGTGTCAAGCTAAGGTTGTTTTCCCTCTAGTAAAGCAGTAACTTAAGACCTTAGGGAGCTCCTTGGAGAAGCGTTTTACATGGCCAGCCTCAGGTATTTGTCAATGGGCTGCAGATTATAAGGAAATTTAGTTCTATCTGCCATTTCCTTCTGCCTTTGTTTCCCACATCGCTATGGAGGGGTGATGCTGGATTATGATCTCTATCAGTTAACCCTTTGTTTTTCCCCTTTCCTTTGTTCTTGGGCAGCCAGGAGTGCCCAGGAGTATCACATACATCCCACCTGGAGGTGGGGGGTGTTTGCGGCCTGTCAACTTGCCTTATGCTCCCTCATCAACCAGGTCCAGTAGTTAATTCTCAGTCTTCATCTCACTGTCCTCTTAGAGTATTTGACACCATTGTTCACTTCCTCCTTGAAGCACTTTCTTCATCTGGTTTCCAGGGACACCACTTTCTTTTCTCTTGATTATCCCCTGTTTTTCAGTCTCTCTTGTGAGTTACCCTTCATCTTCCAGACTTCTACATGTCAGTGTGTCCAAGGGTTCAGCCTGTCCATTTCTTTCCTCTTCTGTCTGTACCATTAGATGTGATTACATCTAGTCCATACCTGTAAGTACCATTTATAAGGTAATGATTCTCAAATTTATATCTGCAGTCCAGATTTTCTCTTTGACTTTCCATCTCATGTCTGTCTGCCTCTGTGGGCAACTTCTCTTGGACAGTGGATTGCAACTCTTCCTTAAAGAGTGTAAAACTGAAATCTTGAGTTCCATACCCCAATCTTTTGTGACTCTAGTATTCCCATTTCAGTAAGTGGTCCTTCTGCTTTTGCTCAGGCCACAAACTGAGGGGTCATTCCTGGCTCTTTTCCCCACCTTTGTACTTCACATCCATTGTGTCAGCAAATCTGTTGTTTTTACCTTAAAACCATGTAGTGACTATCTATCGTCTTCTCCACTGCTACCACTCAGTCCATGTGGCTATAGTCTCTGGCATGCACTGTGCCGACAGCTTCTACTAGACTCTCTTTTCCACTTGTGACTTATAGATTGGTCACTGCATAGCAGCTAGAATGATTCTTTTAAAACATAAAGTTGGTTGGAATGAAATAGAAAGTCCTTACAGTAGTCTATCAAGCCCTATTAGATCTGGCCTTTCTGAGAGCCTTTGGACTTGTTATTTTCTCAGCCTGGGGTACTCTCTGAAGATATTTTCATTGTTTACTCCTTCACTACACTCAGGTTTCTGTGCAAATGCCACTTTATTAGTGAAGCTTTTACTGACCACCCTGTCTAGAGAGCATATTCCTTCTACCTCTCTCTCCTTACCCTGCTTCATTTTCTTCCCGTTTAATCATGCAGAATGTTGTCTTCCACTAGAACAGAAGGTCCCAGTGGGCAGGGACCCTTTTATTCACCCTTTTGTTCCCAGGCCTGATAATAATGCCTGCCACATGCATTTGTTGAATGGATTAATGAAGGGAAATTCTATTTCATTCTGCCCCCTCTTCTATATTTTTATAGTTGTAATTATTGAAAACATATCATTTTAGAGAATCAGGATGAACATCTAGTTCTCTTGCCCTTATCCCCATCCTGCCCTTGATGCATACACTTTTTCACAGATATTAAGAAATTTGCTCAACATTAATAGTTTTACAAATATTTTGGAAGCCATGGTACCTCACTTACTTTTCAGATTCCAGTCTTTCTGTTAAATGTTTTGTTCAGCCTCAATGACTTGTGGATGAGAAAGGCATAAAATCAGCAGAAATATTATGTGTAGGATACCTTTGCTTGTTTGGAATAATAAGAAATGAGGAAAGACAAGGGCACCCGGCTGGCTCAGTCAGTTAAGCATCCAGTCGCCTCGGGTCATGATCTCACAATTGGTGAGTTCAGGCCCCACGTTGGGCTCCTCACTGACAGTGAGGAGCCTCCTTGGGATTCTCTTTCCTTCTATCTCTCTGTCTTTCCCCCACTCACAGTCTCTCTCTCTCAAAATAAATTTTTAAAGACTTAAAAAAAAAAGGAATGAGGGGGCCTAGGTGGCTCAGTTGGTTAAGTGCTGGACTCTTGATTTTTGCTCAGGTCATGATCTCACAGTTTTGTGAGTTTGAGCCCCCCGTTGGGCTCTGTGCTACCAATGTGAAGCCTGCTTGGGATTCTCTTTCTCTCCTTCTCTCTCTGCTTGTCCCCCACTCATGCTGTCTCTGTCTCCTCTCAAAATAAATAAATAAACTTAAAAAAAAAGAAATGAGGAAAGACAGTCTAAATTAATAAAAACATTTTTAATCTTGCATATGCACATGTACTTACATGTTTTAAAGTATGTCGTTCTTGGTGCAAATACATACTAAAGTTTGTCAAGTAAAGGTTCTCTTGGATCTGTTTTAGTGATTATATATGTAACAGTTGTAATTAGGGTATTATCTGTATGCATATGAATGCAAAAATTGTAAGAATGATTGGGAACAGATGAATTTCTTTAGTAAGTGATAGTTGATAGTTTATTTTTCTTCTACTTGGTATGTAATAAAAAGGGCAAACATTAGTCTTGTGTATTTAAATCATTACGGATGTTGAAATTAACATTTTCCAAGGGGCGCCTGGATGGCTCAATTGGTTATGCGTCTGACTTCAGCTCAGGTCATGATCTCACAGTTAGTTTGTGGGTTCAAGTCCCATGTTGGGCTCTGTGCTGACAGCTCAGAGCCTAGAGCCTGCTTCAGATTTTGTGTCTTCCTCTCTCTCTGCCCCTACCTCACTCATGCTCTCTCTCTCTCTGTCTTTCAAAAATAAATAAATGTTAAAAAAGTTAAAAAAATAAAATATTCCAAATTGAGGAGGTGTTACTATAATTTGAACAGTTAAAAGGAGGAACCAAGACTCTGGTTTTCTTGGTTCAGATGTGAGAAAAGTCTTCAGGTGACTTCATCTTGACCCTTTGTAAGGACTTCTGTTTCCTCACAGAAGTCACAGAAGCCAATGTAATTCCCTAAATTAGGAAGGTCATTACTTACCTTTGGCACTTCAGGTAATTTCAGAGTAACCCATTTCCTTGCTGACCCTGATTGGCTCTAGAAACCGTGGGAGAGGTGGTTGGGCCAATTTAAAGTTGAAAAGAATTATCTCTTTCTGATCATAGATCTCTTGGCTTAGTAAATTATCCCCTAGAGGCAAAGGAAGAATGGTAAAATGTTAAATACCACCACCACACAAGCAAAAATATCAGTACTGTGTCAAATCAGATAAACTCTGATGGTACATACTGCAAGAGCGCCACCAGAGACTAGAACAGTAGTTTCTTTGTCATGAGCACTGATGGGGATGAGTAAGTGGCTTTGGGATACCTCTGATTCTGGTGGAGAGTATCCTGCTTGGATGTACTCCCTGGGTCCTCTTTCTCTTCCTTTACTCTGTAGTGTCTTCAGTCTTCTCCTAACAAGAGCAGCCAGGGATGACATCAGAGCTTGCATATCCAAATAGTGTCATATCTGTCATCTGGGTGGCCTCCAGAGTCTAGGTCTTTACTTAACTATGGTTGGAGCCTGAGGGCAGGGCCTGGCAATGGAGGTAGAGGGCTGGTGCTTTTGACTGGTAGGAGAATCTGTGAAAAAAATTCATTATGGTCTGACAGTTGATCTTTTGATCATGTGTGGAACAGAGAGATTCTCCTTTCTATTCTTTTTTCCCCCTCTTTTCTCGGTTTTGCTGGGAGAGTAGGGAACAGTTAGAGGGATGGAAGAGCCTTCATGGGGTCTGGCTTGGCAGTGGATATCTGATAATAACAGCAGTCAGGTATCTTGCACTCTGAAGATTTATGTGCCACTAGGATATCTCCTAAACTTTGTTATAATAATAGTGTCTATCTCCTTCCTAGTCTTGGGTGACACTCAGAAAACCTCTTATCATACTCTTAGCACACGCCTGCAACCAACCGTGCAGTTATTGGTGATAGGATGAGGAACATATCTAGTCATGGTGAATGAAGAAGATGATTATTACATTAGGTACTAGATTCCTTCAAAAAGGAAGGCAGAAGAGAGGAGGGATTTACCAAAGCATGAAGAAATTCATGCTCAGGTACAAAGAGATGTCTGTACACAGTAAAATCTATTCAGCTGCTAACAAGAGCAGACGTGTACAACTCTGCTAGTTCCATGAAATGTCATGGGATTCCTTTGTCCCTCATTTTATACACAAGATTTACTGTGCTGTATGAACTGTTCCAAACTCTGCTTTTAAGCTCATTATTATATTTTGGAGGCTGTTTGTAATATTCTAGATAGAGCTGCCTTGGTCTTTTCAGTGGTGCTATAATATTTCGCTATTTTGATATACTATAATAATTTAGAACATAATCTTCTGTTATTGAATGTTTGGATTCCTTCTAATATGCAAATATGACCTTTTTGGGAGAATGCTTTAAATAAATTTTTGTGCATGCATCTTTGTGTACATTTGTAAGTGTATTTGTTGCATAACTTCTTGGAAGTGGAATTGCTGGGTCAAGCATTTTATGTGAATGTTTTAATTTGGAAAAATGTTGTCAAACCATCTTTCATTAAGAATGTGCCAGTTTACACTTTGTCTATTCTATGTGGGATGCCTGTTTCCTCACTCCTTTTGCCCATACTGGATGTTACGGAGTGTTTTGATCTTTGCCAATATGAGAGCTAAACCATGGAATCTTGCTACAGTTTTTATTTGTATTTCTTTTATTATTAATGATATTTAATATCTTTCAAACATTTGAAAGTCATTTTTTTATTTCCTTTTTATCGAACTATCTTTTCATGTTTTGTCACTTTGTGTTTTATCCCTTAAAAAAATAGACCAGTTACTGGTTTATGTATTTTGTTTGTTTGTTCAAAGAACCAAATCTTGAATGTAATTAGTGGTAGTACCTTTCTTTTTCTGATATCTAAGTCATTGGTTGCTGTTTTCAGCTGGATTATTTCTTCCTTCTGTGTTGATTTTTTAAGAAGTATTAAATGAAGCAAGACTGGCAAAAATGATGAAAATAGCTGGTGGGGGGGGATGAGTATATGGGAGTTTATTCTAAAATTTTTATACTTTTGTGTTTGCTAGAAATATTATAGAATAAATGAATACCCACATCAAGTTCTGTGAAAATTAATTTGAAAGCCTAACAAAATAAATGGTTTTCTTGAAAAAATATAAATTAACAAGACTGTTGCTTTTTTTGTCCCTTTTTTACTTTTTTTTTTTAAAAAGTAGGTATTTACTGGGTTTAAAAAAGTAAACTTTTAATTTAAAAATTTACATTTACAGAGAAATGGCACAGAGAGTGCAGAGACCTTGCATACCCTATACTCACTAACTCCCATTGTTAACATCTTACCCTTCTATGCTATATTTGCCAAAACTAAGAAATCCACACTGGCACATTACTACTAATTAAACAGCTGACTTTATTTGGATTTCACCAGTTTTTCCATTAATGCCCTCTTTTTGTTCCAGGACCCAATGCTGAGTGCTACATTGCATATGATTATCCTGTCTCTCTAGTCTCCTCTGGTCTATGACAACTTCTCAGTTTTTCCTTGTTTCTCATGATCTTCTCAGTCTTGAGGAGTACTGAGATATCCTGTAGAATCTTTCCCAATCTGGTTTTGTCTCACGTTTTCCCCATGATTAGGTGGTAGTTATGGGATTTTGGAAAGAAGAGCATAAGGAGAAATGCCTTTCTTGTCATATTTTATCAAGGCATTTATGATATTCTTATAACATCACTAGGAATGTGGATCTTTACCATTTGGTTAAGGTAGTGTCTACCAGGTGTCTCCATTGCACATTTCCCCCTTTCCCTATTCTGTTCTTGGGAAGTGAGTCACCATGTCTCTCCCCACAGCCCCTTAAGGGAGGGTAGTGGCGGGAGCTAAACTCTGCTTCCCAGCACTTGAAGACCTCACGCGGCCTTTGTGCCGTCTGTCAAGTGCTTGAGCAAAACTCTTCTCAGTTTTACCTGCTCTTCCCAGACTGAGCAGCTCACTTTACAGTGAATACTTGTGGGCTATTCTGGCGTTCTTCTGTTCTCAGGTCTTCAGATGCCTTTTGCTCAGAAGGATTTTGTGGCTGTTGGTGGTTTGTCCCTACCCATTTATATTTTGGTGTTCATCATTTGTTTTAATTGTTGCCCTTGAGTGTTTGGTTTGTAATCTAGTTCCTTTGTTTTTATGTGTGGATTCTGAGAGATCCAAAACCCATGCTGCTGCCTCCCTGTGCTTCAGTCTTATCAATCCCTTACTTAGGAGTTTGAACGACACTGTGTCACTTTGTGTAGATATTGTACCTGGCAGACCTTTATGTATTGTAACCTGTACAATGAGAAACTTTATAATGCTGTGAATCCATTTTTAATTTAATTTGATGTTTTAAGTCCATTTTTAAAAATATTGACATCATAGCCTCTTCTTATCTTTCCTCATCTCCTCCCTCCCTCCTCCCCTCTCCTTTTCTTTCTTCTCTTTCTTCTTTTTGCCACCTGTCTCTTTCTTTCTGTTTTCATTTTCTAGCTTTGCTTTTGCCAGTTTGGAATCACTGTGTTTTAGGGGTGAGTCTTGTATAATGCTTGTAATTGGGTTTTGTCTTATTATGAGCAACTGAGTATATCTTGAATATATGTGATTATTCCATTTATAATTATTAATGAAAATTTTTTGAATTTCTTATGGCATTATATGTTATGAATGTTAAAGTTTTCTTTGATTTTTGTTTCTCATTTATTTTCTGGTCTGTTTGTTCTTTGCTTGGTATATATTCATTGGATGATAATTTGGAAGTTTTATATTATTTTTCTTTATATCATAATTACTCTTAGTGTTATAATAATGTTTTTTTTTTAATTTTTTTTTCAACGTTTATTTATTTTTGGGACAGAGAGAGACAGAGCATGAACGGGCGAGGGGCAGAGAGAGAGGGAGACACAGAATCGGAAACAGGCTCCAGGCTCTGAGCCATCAGCCCAGAGCCCGACGCGGGGCTCAAACTCACGGACCGTGAGATCGTGACCTGGCTGAAGTCGGACGCTCAACCGACTGCACCACCCAGGCACCCCTATAATAATGTTTTTAATCCTCACTAGTGTGAGCAGTGAAAAATAACTTTTCCTGAGATTTTTTTTCTATGCCTTTCTTCTTCTTTCCCCCTTTGATTTTAGCTGATTGTATTATCTTTTTCTGTTTTCCTAGGAAGTGTTTTACTTTAAACTTTTCAATAACTTATAATTCTGTTACTGGATTCATCAGTTTAATAGTCTAATTTTGCCAATAATTGACATTTTTTATGGGTTAAAATGACAGAATATTGGCTGTTTCATGGTTGATATTATTGAATGACTACTCAGAGAACTGTTTCTTTTCTTTTTTGACCAAAAAAGGCAGGTTTCATTTTTTAAATTTTATTTTTATTTATTAGTGAAGTATAGTTGGCATATAATGTTAAATTAGTTTCAGATGTACAACATAGTGATCTGACAATTCTATACATTATTCAGTGCTTGCCACAGTAAGTGTAGTTACCATCTGTCACCATACAGTGTTATTACAATATTCTTGTCTGTACTTTTCACCTCTGTGACTTATTTATTTTGTAACTGGAAGTTTGTATCTCTTAATCCCCTTCATCTATTTCACCCATCTCCCCACCCACCTCCCTTATGGTAACCATGGGTTTGTTTTCTGTATTTAAGAGTCTGTTTGGTTGGTTGGTTTTTTAGATTCTACATATAAGTGAAGTCATATGGTATTTGTCTTTGTCTGACTTACTTCACTTGGCATAATACACACTAGGTCCATCCATGTTCTTACAAATGGTAAGATTTCATCTTTTTTTATGCTTTTTTTATACCAGTGTATGTGTGTGTGTGTGTGTGTGTGTGTGTGTGTGTGCGCGTGCGTGTGTGTGTGTGTCCACTTACTACATATTCTTTATCCATTCATCTATTGATGGATACTTGAGTTTCTTCCATATCTTGGCTGTTGCAAAATAATCCTGAAATAAACACAGGGGTGCATGTATATTTTCAAATGAGTGGTTTTGTTTTATCCAGTAGTGTAAATACCCAGTAGTGTGATTGCTGGATCATAGCATAGTTCTATTTTTAATTTTTTTTAATTAAAAAAATTTTTTGATTAAAAAAAATTTTTAATGTTTATTTATTATTGAGAGACAGAGCATGAACATGGGAGAGGCAGAGAGACACAGAATCCAAAGCAGTCTCCAGGCTCCAAGCTGTCAGCACAGAGCCAGACACGGGGCTCGAACTCACAAACCGCAAGATCATGACCTGAGCCAAAGTTGGACGCTTAACCAACTGAGCCACCCAGGTGTCCCTCTATTTTTAATTTTTTGAGGAACCTCTATACTGTTTTCCACAGTGGCTACACCAATTTTCATTCCCACCAACACTACATGAGGGTTCTTTTCTTCACATCCTCATCACCACTTGTTACTTCTTATTAAAAAAACTATTTCTTTAACTTTAGATTTAATGACTTTCCTGAAGTTAACATCTAGAGAGATGTTTATGTCTCTGATTCTTTGCTTCATGGGATGCGTTATAAACTTACAATCTGTAGTTTTAAATCTGATTTTATTCAGGATAGCTATCTTGAATCATATCTCTGATTTTTTTCTTCTTTTCTTCACCTGATTCTCTTTTTTCAGGAACAAAAATTATTTGAATTTAGGATTTTTGTTTGTTTTATACCTGAATCTTTTGTTTCCTCTTTAATCCTATAAAACTCTTTATTCATATTAATTTTATTCCCTTTATCTCAGTCCTATGTTTTCTACTGTGTTCTTTTTGATGTTTCCATACTAGCTTTAATTTCTGTGATCATTTCATTTTTCTCTTCACTTCCTCCCTAAGCACTGGATGCTTCAAATTTAATCTCTTTTCTTATGTCTCCCCATTTCCACCCCGTTGAATGTTCGTATCTTTTTTTGTGTGTTCTTGTTTTATTTATTTTTATTTTTTATTTTATTTTATTTTTTAAATTTTCTTTTTCAACGTTTATTTATTTTTTTTGGGACAGAGAGAGACAGAGCATGAACGGGGGAGGGGCAGAGAGAGAGGGAGACACAGAATCGGAAACAGGCTCCAGGCTCTGAGCCATCAGCCCAGAGCCCGACGCGGGGCTCGAACTCACGGACCGC